GTGAAAGTCACATGTAGGAGAGGGTTGGGGCCCAGGGACTTTCACAGCCAAATCTCCCTTCCTTTTGAGGGGCCCTGCCAGTTATTTGGGCTTACTGCCCATTTAAGAAGACTTGTGGAATGAATTGTAAGTGATTGATTTATTAATACGTGAGTTACAGAATATTAAATGCTTTAGGCCTATGTAGTATTATGAACTAATGTTCTATAAAAATAGGCTGTATAGCTTATCTATGAAGGAAATATCAAAAGTAAATGATTTCAAAGAATATTATTGCAGGGCATCCAATATTTGCCATTTAAAACTGCCATTTATTAAGAATATGCCTTAACCTTAAAAATTCTTGTCCTTTCTTTTTATGTTTAGTTCAAGAAAAGATACCAGTGTTAAGTTCAAAACACCTCCTATGGCTGAGGCTGGGTGGAATTTATATATTGTGAATACGATATCACCAGTACAACTCTACAAAGAAATGGTACTCTTTTCAGCTTCTAATTCTTATTTTTAGAAATTTTGAGTGAGATTGATGAACAGAAATTGGTTTGTAATTACACACATTTAGAATGCCACAGCCAGCCAGTTTCCAGGCTCTATCTGAAAGCAGAGTGTATATCTTTCTTTACCTTCTAGTTTTCACTAGAGACTCCTGACATTTGAGAAGCCAGTAGAAACTCCTTATTCATATCCCCCTTCACCCCTACACACACCTAAAAGAATCAGTTTGCCCATCTAAATATCAATATCCTTTGGCTTTAACTTTTAACTCTGTTGTTGCTAGATGCTGTGGAGTTATATCTGACTCACAGCGACTCTGTGTACAAAAGAATGAAACACTGCCTGGTCCTGTGCCATCCATGCTCATAGTTGTTGCTTTGCGTGAGCCATTTTCACAGCTACTGTGTCAATCCATCTCATTGAGGATCTTCCTTTTTTTTGCTGACCCTCTACCAAACATGATATCCTTCTCCAGGGTCTAATCCTTCCTGGTAACATGGCTAAAGTACCAGAGGTAAAGTCTGGCCATTCTCACTTCTAAGGAGCATTCCAGCTACACTTCTTCCAAGACAGATTTATTTGTTCTTCTGGCAGTCAATGGTATATTCAGTATTCTTGGCCAACACAATAATTCAAATGCATAAATAATTCTTCTATCTTCTTTATTCATTATCCAGCTTTCATATGCATGTGGGACATTTGAAAATACCATGGGTTGGGTCAGACACACCTCAGTCTTCAGA